CCCTTCCAGTTTATGGGCAGCTTTCCTGTCGAAGATGGCGCTACATCGAGGACGTAACATCACACTGGACCCCTTCCCCTGGCAACGGTGAAGAAAACCGACAATTGACTATTCTTGTCCTGGGTAAGCCATCATGTTGAGTTCCTCCTGACAGTTTGATTCACTATCCCCTATGGTTTCATGCTGGGTTATTTCTACCATATTGATGTTGATACCTTCGACCAGATTCAGTTTTTTCAGTCCCAACTCCAAACCTCTAGAGGCCTGGTCCGCCTTGACAAAGTGATCAACAGTTTCTTTAGTCACCATTGTCCGAAACCCATGATAACCTTTGCCATTACAGCCCCATCCACGAGATTCTTAGTAACCTCTAACATGTTGATCGAAAAATCATAGCCATCAGTGGCTTCGACCATGTTGGCCTCCAATGGCTCTGTATAATGGGCATCTGCCACCTGCAGGGGGTCCGTGTCGACCTTCATTTGACTGTTGGTTTTCTCCCCGAATTTCAGACATCCTTTTTGGATTGCATTTTGAACGAGATCCCTGAAAAGAAAACATTGAGATGTTTTATGACCCAAAAAATTATGGTATTTACAAAATCCTTTTTTTCCCTTTGTTCTAAAGACGACATTTTAGCACCAGGTGGCACAATCATTTGCCCATCCTTAACCAACAAATCGAAAATTTCATCACATTTCGTGATATCAAAAGTATATGTTTTCTTTGGGAACCTGTCGTTCTTTTCAGATTCGACAAAACTCTTCTCCTATGGGGGAGCCATTACCTTGCAAGAGTAAGGTGGACCTTGTTTAAGTTCAGCAAGATCTACTTCGCTTTCGTCAAAATATAAAGGATCTTCGCGTCCCCCTCGACGTTTTCATTGTATTCGACAAAAGATACTTTCTTGCTTTTGTTGAACTTGGATTTTTCGTCTTTAAGTCGTTCCAGCTGTCGGATTCTATCGGCTAATTGAGCCATGTCCCTTAGGTACTGAGTGTCTAACTTTTTTCTAATAGAATAGTCGAGGCCTCAGGCGGCCATTTTGACCAACTCATGTTCAGGCACTTGTGTGAAACATCTGGCCTTGAGTAATCGAAACCTATTGAGGTATTCTTCCATTGGCTCAGAAAACATGTGTTTCACACTAGTGAGTTCCTTTAAACTAATCTTGGTCTGACCCATGTAAAACTGTTCATGGGAACATACGCTCTAGCTGGGTCCAATTACACACTGTGTTAGGAGGTAGCGTCGTAAACCAAGTGAAGGCATTTTTAGTGAGAAAACTTGGGAAATATTTTATTCTAAGGCTCTCATCATTTGCTATCTCTCCGGCCTCAATTATATAAAGAGCCACATGTTCGACAGTGGATTACGTCGTATCTCTTGAGAACTTAGTAAATTTGGGTACTTTCGTTCTAGGAGGTCTGAAAGATGTAATCCACTATTGGAGGCGTATAGTTTGGCCTAGTGAACCCAATGTTTAGACCATTTCGAGCCATGATTGTTTCGACCATGACTGCTAAATTATTGCCGACAGTTATGTTACTCCGTCGAACCTGCTGGACGATATTGTCTGCGTCCTGGTTTCGATTCACTATGATTACTCCTGGGTCCCTCTCCCCTGGAGCCTGAACTTGATCTCTTAACGGTCCGACCCTAGGTGGTTCGAATACGGGAGGCTCGAACCTACCCTGGTTTTCCATATTGGCTTCAACCATGTTTTCTAAGTCTCGTCGTGTGATGTTTTCTACTAGGGCCTGATTCCTAGCCGGAGGAGGTACCCCCATGAATTCAGCCAATCGTGTCAAATGTACTGCTAACAGTTGATTGGTGTGGGTCGTGTTTTGGATTAATGGTTGAAAGATTCAACCCATGATCCGACTGTTACATCCACCTGTATAACTCCCATGGTCGAACCTACTTTGCCTTCGTAGTTTGACAAGACCATATTGTGCGGTTTCACATCGGTATCATATGGATATTTTTTTTAATATTTTCAAAATCTATTTTATTAAAGAATTCATCAAAAAATACATTGTGAGAAATTTTAATTAAAAATATAATCTTTATTTTATTTTATATAAAATCAAATGTATTGCTACATCAATTTCTAAATATAAGGCATTTTTGATTTTTTTTTCTTTTTTCTTTCTTTTTATATAGAACATTTTATATAAAAAGTTTTACACCGTCAATTTATCACAATGATAAGTTAATATTATCTTTTAAATAGTTAAAATAAAAATTAAATATTTTATATAAATTAATAAATAACTTACATTATCCGTACATATTAATTAAATTCATTTATATAACACCCTATTCAAATATTTATATAACACCCTATTCAAATACTAATATCAATTAATAATTGGTTATCCAATGTTGTATTTTTTTGTACGGTACACAATAAATACTTTTATATATATATATATATATAAACTGATTATCTCTATTTATGTATATTAACGGATTATCTCTTTTGATAACTTTATAAGAATACACAAATAATTAACAAATTTATTATTTTAATGAACTTTCTTAATTTTAAATTCTGCAATTTTTTTTAACGGAGTCTTATATATTACAATTTACTTTTAAACGTAAAAAAGAAAATAATTTTACCAAAAAAGAAATAAAAGAAGGATTTAATAGATATGTATTGATAATGTAAAATAATATGTCAAATTATTAAATTTTAAAAAAATTAATATGTTAATTAGAATTAAGTAAAAATATTTTACACCAAAAATATATTACGCATTATCTCATAAAAGAAACAATAAATCATGAATTTTTTTAGTAAGTTTGAATTAATACCAACATCTTAAAGGAAAATTATGTTTAAATAATTTGATATATACAAAAATAGTAACAATATTAAATGATTAGACATTAATTAATTAGATTAGATACTCAACCGTGTAAATAATAAAATCAATTAATGATAGACGAGAGCTTCTACTACTGCATTATTAAATGATTAGACATTAATTAATTAGATTAGACACTCAACCGTATAAAAACAGTACCCATCGTTTAAGCTTAAGCAATCACTAACTACTGCTTCACTTTCTTTCTCCATCGTTGGTTTTCTTCATTTCTTCACTCTCCCAAACCTAATTCCCTCCATTCCCCTTTCTTACAAATAATTGAAAGCTATAAATGCAACCAATTTAACACATTCTAAACCCTCGTCTTGTTCCTCGACCGCATCGTCTTGTTCCTCAATTCTCACAGGTTCAACGTTTTCTTTTCTGTTCAGTCTCTTTAACTTTCGTTTCTTGTTTTCACTTCAATTTTTTCACTCTCCGTCTCCGACGATTTCTTTACGTTTTTGTGCTCTTACTTTACGTTTTTTGTGCTCCGATGATTACTTTATGTTTTTCTTTCTCCGATGATTACTTTATGTTTTTCTTTCTCCGATGATTACTTTATATTTTTCTTTTCTCCGATGATTACTTTAGGTGGCATTAATCTTCGCCGTTAAGATCACCGTTCAAGAAGTAATTCGGTAAGTGTAACTGGTATTTGTGATTTCTAAATCATTTCTAAATCATATACTGCATTTTGTTTCATCTTGGAAATCATTGAAATATGGTTGTGGTTTTGTTGAATTTTGTTGCCTGTAGTATAGAAAGCTGTGACTGAATTGATCATAAATGGCACCACCCAATCCGAAAGTTAAAGCGGCTTTTCGCGCAATGACGATCCTTGGCATTCAACCACATTGTCTTGTTCTTCAACTCTCACAGGTTCTGTTCCATCTCTTTAACTTTCGTTCTTGTTTTCACTTCAATTTTTTCACTCTCCGTTACATTTTCGTTCTCCGACGATTACTTTACGTTTTTCTTTTGTCCTTGAATGTTTATAGGTTTCAATTGTTGCATTAATCTTCGCCGTTAAGATCACCGTTCAAGAATCAAGATTGACTTCAGCCGAATCGTAGTTCGGTAAGTGTAACTGCTATCTGTGATTTCTAAATCATTTCTAAATCATATACTGCATTTTGTTTCATCTTGGAAATCATTAAAATATGGTTGTGGTTTTGTTAAATTTTGTTGCGTGTAGTATAGAAAGCTGTGACTGAATTGATCATAAATGGCACCACCCAATCCGAAAGTTAAAGCGGCTTTTCGCGCAATGACGGTCCTTGGCATTCGACCACATTGTCTTGTTCTTCAACTCTCACAGGTTCAATGTTTTCTTTACTGTTCCATCTCTTTAACTTTCGTTCTTGTTTTCACTTCAATTTTTTCACTTTCCGTTACGTTTTTCGTTCTCCGACGATTACTTTACGTTTTTCTTTTGTCCTTGAATGTTTATAGGTTTCAATTGTTGCATTAATCTTCGCCGTTAAGATCACCGTTCAAGAATCAAGACTGACTTCAGCCGAATCGTAGTTCGGTAAGTGTAACTGCTATCTGTGATTTCTAAACCATTTCTAAATCATATACTGCATTTTGTTTCATCTTGGAAATCATTGAAATATGGTTGTGGTTTTGTTGAATTTTGTTGCGTGTAGTATAGAAAGCTGTGACTGAATTGATCATAAATGGCACCACCCAATCCGAAAGTTAAAGCGGCTTTTTGCGCAATGACGATCCTTGGCATTCGACCACACTGTCTTGTTCTTCAACTCTCACAGGTTCAATGTTTTCTTTACTGTTCCATCTCTTCAACTTTCGTTCTTGTTTTCACTTCAATTTTTTCACTCTCCGTTATGTTTTTCGTTCTCCGACGATTACTTTACGTTTTTCTTTTGTCCTTGAATGTTTATAGGTTTCAATTGTTGCATTAATCTTCGCCGTTAAGATCACCGTTCAAGAATCAAGATTGACTTCAGCCGAATCGTAGTTCGGTAAGAGTAGCTGGTATTTGTGATTTCTAAATTATATACTACATTTTGTTTCATCTTGAAAATCATTGAAATATGATTGTGGTTTTGTTGAATTTTGTAGCGTGTAGTATAGAAAGTTGTGACTGATTGATCATAAATGACACCACCCAATCCGAAAGTTAAAGCAGTTTTCCGCACGATGACGAACCTTGGCATTCATGAATCCAAAGTGAAACCAGTGTTAAAGAAACTGATAAAATTGTATGAAGGAAACTGGGAGCTTATTGAAGCAGATAATTACACTGCTCTTGTAGATGTTATTTTCGATGTGGAAGATAATCGACAGGAAGATAATCAGGTGTATCCTATTCCTGCATTAACACTTATTTGTTTTGGGTCTATTCTATGAAATTTACTCTCATTTCACATGCACAATGCTTGTTCATTGTTATTATATAAGAATGTCGCTGTTGTCTGTGTTTCTTTCTTACTGTTAATTCTCTAGCTGCTGAAATGAATTATGGTTTTTCAATTATGCCTTAAAATATGGAAAAAGAGCTCTTTGTAGAATTTAGTTAGGGGAGGCTCACACTGCTGTTTAAAGACTTAACAACTTAACACATAGGATACACTGCATATGCTAATAAGCACACCATCGTGTGGAAATGAAAATAAGTTCCTATGCCCGAAACTGGAGGAACAAGTTCCTGTGCCCGAAACTGGAGGAACAAAGACACCAAAGTGTGTAAATGAAGTAAGCCAAAGTGCACTTCAAAATAAGTTCCTGTGCCCGAAACTGGAGGAACAAGTTCCTGTGCCCGAAACTGGAGGAACAAAGACACCAAAGTGTGTAAATGAAGTAAGCCAAAGTGCACTTCAAAATAAGTTCCTGTGCCCGAAACTGGAGGAACAAGTTCCTGTGCCCGAAACTGGAGGAACAGTAGATGTCTTCACCATTAGTACCAGGTTGGACTCATTACAAGTGAGATCCCGTCAGGGGAAAAGGTGGAACATCTAGCAAAATTGTGTATAGTAAAAAGTTCCTGTGCCCGAAACTGGAGGAACAAGTTCCTGTGCCCGAAACTGGAGGAACAGTAGATGTCTTCACCATTAGTACCAGGTTGGACTCATTACAAGTGAGATCCCGTCAGGGGAAAAGGTGGAACATCTAGCAAAATTGTGTACAATAAAAAGTTCCTGTGCCCGAAACTGGAGGAACAAGTTCCTGTGCCCGAAACTGGAGGAACAGTAGATGTCTTCACCATTAGTACCAGGTTGGACTCATTACAAGTGAGATCCCGTCAGGGGAAAATGTGGAACATCTAGCAAAATTGTGAATAATAATAAATGCATGTGCAATCCTAAATATTCAATGAACAAAAAGTCTATAACAGAGCAGTTAAACCCCCCTTTTAAAACTAAAAGATAAACTCTTGGACCATAGGACGAGGCAGCCAAAGTTAAATTTAGGCTAGCTATCTTAATTGAAGAGTATTAATGTGATAGGTAACTGAAAAGTATTTGTTACTTTCCCTTTTTGATGTCCTAGCTTCAGGAACAAAAGAATGATTTGGGCACTTCGGAACTGTCATCCATCTTCACCTGACTTTTGTACTTTGGAAGACTGGTGTTCTTTAGACACTTTGGAAAATTTCAAGATGATTTCTAGATGGTGAGTGTATTGCACTCTGAAAATCTTTGTTTCATGTAGCTAATTTTGTTAGTTGTCTGGATTAGGAATTTCAAGTTTTTTTTTTGTTTTGATTTTTGTCTGATTGTGAATCTTTGTTTCTTGTAGCTAACTTGCTGCTGGGTTATCAGTATATGGATTGGTGGGCTGATTGAGCTTTCAGTTTAAGACACTGGTTTTTACTTTGTTTTCAGATAAGTAGGCCTGAGGAATGGGAGAAAGCCCCTGATCCAAAGAAATATTTTGTTCAATTCTTTGGCACCAAAGAGATGTAAGCCTCTCTTACCTGATTTCTCTTGTAACTAACATGTTGCCAAGTTATCGGGGAGTGACGGGGATGCATCTTTTATAATTTGTGATCAAAATTAGGGACTGTTGTGTGGAGTTAGTAAGGAGGATTACACTTTAGTGTAAACCGATCGGTAGCTTGGATGCGGATAAAATGTACTGATGACTTATGTAGGGGTTTCGGAATATTATCTCAGTACTGATTGGCCTTATGTTCAGAGTCTTTGGCCGGACGGTTGTTGATGTTGTGGTTTGCGGGATGTTACTGATTAGTAGTTTGGATGTGGATAAAATGTCCTGATGAGTTATTTTGGGGTAATTATGTTTATTATATTATTATATAATTATATGATTAGTCTTTTATCCTGAACTGATTTTAGGATGCAATGCAAAGGAAAGCTCTTGCTTCTGCAGCTGCTGCTGCTGCATTAGAAGAGGCCAATGCTACTGAATGCATAATAAGAAATTTAAGGTAATGACTACCCTTTGACCAGATGTTACTGATTAGTAGTTTGAATGTGGATAAAATGTCCTGATGAGTTATGTAGGGTAATTATGTTTATTATATGATTATTTAAATTATATAATTCTGCATTCTATTTCTGCATGTTCTTCTAGGTTAATAAAATAGTTGTTTCCACTAGTTACTTGTAGCATATAACCGAATCTTCAGTTTATTGATGACATTACCAACTTATCTAAAATTTCAAATCATTAGGAGAAGGGCCAAAAATGGTTATGAATTTATAGTTACTTGTAGTATGCTGATTGAATACCTTGTTGCATGTTTGACTAGAAAACTGAGGTAAATCTCTTTAGGGTATGTTTGGGAGGGAGGTTTAATCCTCAAATATTGGTTTTTATGTTGTGTTTTGATTTTATTGAATCTTAAAGATGTCCTGATGTTTGATCTTTCATGTGTTTGATTGTTGTGCCATTAGAATTTTGTATACTTCAATATAAAATGATTGTTTTTTAATGACACAGATTGCTTCAGATGGACTCAAACATAGAGTGTTTGAGGTTTCTCTGGCTGATCTCCAAGGGGATGAAGATCACGCTTTCAGGAAGATTAGGCTGTTCTCTGGCTGATCTCCAAGGCGAAAGCCACTGATCTGATTGAACAGTGAGATGTTAGGGGACTATTTCCATTCCTTTTCTAATTTTATGATGATTGTACAACAACATTTACTTGTTTGGAATTGCAGAGGTGAGCCAACAAAAGTTTTTTTAGGTATTGTAAACAGTACACTAGTTTTCACAAGCCTAAGCTGATTGCCATCATGGAAACTCGTTGTGACCAGTCCAAGCTCCAAAAATCTCTTCTCAAGTTGGGTTTTGATGGCTTTTGCTCTAATGAAAATCAATTTATGCAGGAGGCATTGCTATTGCTTGGATGGAGGAAGACATTAATGTAACTGTTATTCATAAAAAGTTTCAGTATATTCACCTCAAGATCCAACCTAAGCATGGTGCAACTTGGTGGTTTACTACTGTTTATGCGAGTCCTAATATAGAAAATAGAAGGATTATGTGGAATGACTTGTGTGAAATCAGCCTTACTGTGAGAGAGTCCTGGCTGGTGGCTGGGAGATTTCAACGACATTGCATTTGCTCATGAAAAGAAGGGTGAAGGTTGATTTAGCCATTCAAATATTGTTGTTTGTTGACGAACTAAGGTAGATTTAGGAGTGTTTTCACAGATTTTCTTTTTCGATACTTTTCAGAACCGATTCATTTCTTGTTTAGTTTGTTTTTAATAAGAAAAAAAATTAAGAATCTGTGTCGGTGTGTTCCCCGAGTTAGCTAGCAAACCATACACAACAATAATGAAAAAACGAAAATTCACATGCCTCAAGGATTTTAGGAGTGTTGTGTGGCTTGTGTTGTTTTGTGTTTTGTTACCGAGTTTTGATTCATATGTTAATAGGACTGTTTGCTGCTGGACATGAAGCTACAGCAACTGGGATCATGTGGACTATCATATACCTTACAAACCATCCACATTTCCTCAAAAAAGCCAAGGTATATTCACTATTTTTTTTTATCTGTTTTTATTTGAGATTTTGATGTTGCTTTGTCCTAAAAAAAAAGAGAAATTTCATGTATATCTCTATTATAGGAATTTTCATTAGAAGAAGTATCTAGTATGAAGCATCCCGTTGAGCTGTTGAAAGAAGTGAAGAAGGTTTCTTTTACAGCTATTGTCCATGTTTTTATGGGCTCTTGTAATCATAACGTTGTTAAAAAGATTGAAAGTTTATTTGAGGATTTGATGAATGGCTTGAACTCTCTTCCCATTAATGTTCCTGGTTTTACTTTTCACAAAGCACTCAAGGTATTAAACACTTTATAGTCTTTCATCTCAAACTATGTGTTTACTATTAAGTCAACTCAGTTGATAGTAGTCGGAGAGCTTCGGATGCGAAACTGCGACGTTTTAAATATTTATGTTTGCATGATATTATTGTAGGCACAAGAGAAGATAGTGAAAATATTAGAACCTGTTGTGAGTGAAAGGAGGATGAAGATAAAAAATGGGCAACATATGGGAGAGAAAAAGGATTTTATGGATATTCTATTAGATATGAAAGATGTGAATGGTAGAAAAATGAAGGACGGAGATATTAGTGATTTATTAATAGGACTATTAGCTGTTGGACATGAATCTACAGCAACTGGGATCATGTGGGCTCTAAGATTTAGTGTATGGGCTCTAAGGTTCTTATTTTCACAATTTTTCTTTACATTTCGTATTCAAATTTAATTCTGGGTTTTGATTTCTTTGTTTTCTCTGAATTTGCAGAGCTGATTACTTTGCAAAAAAGGATTGGTATGATATCAAAGCTCCTTTAGTTTTTTAGATGAAAAATGTTGGCAAAACCCTCGTTTCTTGTACTCAGGGATCTAAGGTATGATATCAAAACTCTTGAGTGATTGTTGAATCTGCATTAGTTTTTAAATACAACTTAATTAAGTGTTAACCATGTAAATGCTTATGTATTACTAGTAATTATATTGAGAAAATATAGCATAAAGTTAAGTAGTGAAGTTGCTACCTAGTATTGTGTGTTTTGATATTATTGAATCTTAAGGATGTCCTTATGTTTGGTCTTTAATGTGTTTGATTGTTGTGCCATTAGAGTTTTGTATACTTCAATATAAAATGATTGTTTTGTAATGACACATATTGCTTCAGCTGGACTCAAACATAGAGTGTTTTAGGTTTCTCTGGCTGATCTCCAAGGGGATGAAGAACACGCTTTCAGGAAGATTAGCCTTAGAGCCGAGAATGTTCAAGGAAAGAATCTCCTGACAAATTTCTGGGTGTGATAAGTTGCTGCAGCTATTCTCTATGGTTATATTGTTGTTAGGTGTTATTGTTATTAATTTTTAATTTGAATCTTTAGGGGATGAGTCTCACCACTGACAAATTGAGGTCGTTGGTGCGTAAGTGGCAAACACTAATTGAAGCCCATGTGGATGTGAAGACATCTGACAACTACACATTGAGGATGTTTTGAACTTGGAATTATGCTTTGTTTTTCTAAGATATTGCTTGTTACTAGTAATTTAAATAGACCTTTATTTGTACAGATTCGTAGGAAGATGAGAGAAATAATGACCAACCAAGCATCATTCTGTGATTTGAAAGAATTGGTTAGTATATGGTTATATGTTATAAACAATGGTGAAGTTTTAAACTATGTTGGGTTTTTAAAGTTGGACAAATATTGTCTGTCTTACTCCTATTGAACGGGTATATAATTTCGAAAAGTCTTTCTTTTCAACACATGTTTTTGGTTGAGCTTTTCGATATAATAAGAAGGGATAAATGGGTTTGAACTTAGGATTATGCTTTGTTTTTTCTAAAGATATTGCTTGTTACTAGTAATTTAAATAGACCTATATTTGTTCAGATCCGTAGGAAGATGAGAGAAATCATGACCAACCAAGCATCATCCTGTGATTTGAAAGAATTCGTTAGTATATGGTTATATGTTATAAACAATGGTGAAGTTTTTAACTATGTTGGGTTTTTAAAGTTGGAGAAATACTGTCTGTCTGACTCCTATTGACTGAACTGGGAATGAAATCAATGTTACTCTTAGTCTTTTATCCCATTATGACCATAAGACTTATCTATAATGTCATAAACCTTATTTCCAGTCCTTTCTTTAGTTGTTGAAAACATTGCTTATTTTGAGAACGGATTTATATTTGACTCCCATTTGTTCCAGCTTGTTTATTGCTGACACGAAAATACAATTTTTTAGTCTGTTCTATGAATGTTTTTTTCGTGATTAATCCAGTTTGTTTTAGGCATTGGAGGTATTATAGCTCAGACACTGGAAGAGCAGATATTCCGCTGGTTTCGAGCAGCTGAGTTAACTTGTGATCGTGCAGCTCTTCTCATTGCTCAAGACCTTAAAGTATGCTTATGTCAAAATTTATAGTTTATCTATATATTGGTTTAATCAGAACTTATGTTAAATTTGTTGTTTTAATTATAAATATTCATTTTTTAACTGTATAAAAGGTTGTCATCTTTGTGCTCATGAAATTAGCCGGTGGATGCCCATCTTTGGCTGATCAACTAAATGTTGATGCATTCCTGTAGCATGCTCAATTTTATGAAAAGCTGCTTCCAGCCCTGTTGGATGGTACATAAGGTTTGTAGTAATATCGTTGGCACCACAATAAAGTTGAATTTTGACATTTTTTGATGCATTCCTGTAGTATGCTCAATTTTATGAAAAGCTGCTTCCAGCCCTGTTGGATGGTACATAAGGTTTGTAGTAATATTGTTGGCACCACAATAAAGATTTTAGGTACATTAATAATTTTATTTGTTTGATTATACTGATTTATATACCATTCATGATTGATTTTAGCTTTGGCAGCACCCTTGTGCTTTATTATTTTTATTATCAAGTATATAAGTCTTTGGAGCTAAGAAGATAACTTAAATTTACCTAATTCAGTAGTTGAAATCATTTCATTCGGAAGAGGTTTATCGAGAACAACTGAGTCAGTATCAGTGTAGTAAGAATCATTTCTTGAGATGAATTGATACATATAAATTCTAGCACAAGCAGTAATAGCTGCAGACAACTGAACAGCTGAAATCCTTGGTTTCCAGTTAATTGGATCAGAAGTAGTATGGTAAGAAACTATATAGTTATCATCTTCTAGTTTATCACCCATGATAAAACTTATATATTTGACAATATAGTCATAACGTTTTTTATTGCAGATTTCTGTTTTTACGCTTTTAGGGTTAATGCCAAATGTACGGTATAGCGAATTCTATAATATTTTATAAATATAGAACAAAGCATCATTTTTCCCGTTTTTCCTTGCTTCTTGTCTTCTTTCGAATATGCCGGTAACAAAGCTCCCTTCTTTTGTTCAAACAAGTGCCCATTGAGTGGTGTTATCTGGTATCCTATGCTGCGCACATACTTTAATTATTCGCTATAAAACACACCAACGAATTCACCGGTGGGGAATAGTAGAGTATTTGTCTGTTTATCCCTATATGGTAGAAAAGGTCGTGATATAATAGGGCATACAACATGTGCCTCTATAAACCCAAACAAGTTGTCTAAATTTTCTTTTGCCAAATTAGCTTGCCAGGTTGGGATCCCAGCAGGCATTGAAAATGACTTCATTATACATAGTTAATATAGGAAACTTGTTTATAGATAGTGATATGAAGATAATCATATAATCATTTACTTAAAAATTGATTCCCTTTTGACAGATACTTCAGTTACTAGATAAGCATGGTTTTGTCAGACTTGTTATCTGTCTCATAAGTAAGGACCGTTTCTTACAGCTCTGTGAATAGGTTGAATACAGGGTCTAGGGTGCGTGGATTCTTGACATGGCTAATTGGTTGTGACCCCTAAAGAAAGAAACTTCTAAGAGATTGTTGGTTCAACCTTGAATGTGTCAATTAGATGAACACTACCATAATGATTGAACTAAAACACGCTTTCATGTGTCCAATCCTCGATAGAGGGAAAAAGTAGAGAGACAAAATTTTCCCTGTGAGATAGAAGTCTGTCTCGTTTTCTTTTTGTTGTCAGCTTATGGTTGTTATTCATTCATTTTGTAGGAAAAAAAAATAGACAGAAGAGATGACACACCCTTATCATTCTGCTAAATATTTAATTTTATTTTCTGAAGATTGTTGCTTATTTTGATATTTAGTGTTTGAAACTTTTTTCTTTCTGGTTGTGGACTTGTGTTTATCTGCTAATCATATTTAGCAGCATCTCAACTGAGGCATCAAATTTGCAATAAGAAGAATCTGAATATTATAGTGCAACATTGAAGAATGCCATGCTTCAAAAGAGTAGTGACTCAGATCCTCTTGATAAATCAACACAACATGACACAAGTACTTCTTCTTTAGAGAATATGGAGTCCAATTTCAATGGCTTCCGACGGCTTCACCGACAAGAGCGACGTGTTCAGAAAACTCAAAACGAAGTCTGAAAACAAGGTTCAAACTTCTACGCTTTTGTGATTTCAGTTACTCTATTTTGTTCTCTGATTCTCTAGAACACGTTTCAGATCTGCGATATCTGTGTGCTACTTAACTAACAGTGTCTTGTTAATTCCTCTAATAGTCTATAGCTGATGTAAATGTCTTGATATTGTGTGTAGGTTGCTGATTTTGAGAAATATGATATCTGTGCTATGATGGATCCGCCAAATTGGACGCAGGAGAACTTTGCACTGGCAAGATACTAGTATGGTATTTCTATCACTGCCCTGTTGTAAATCATGTTCTTCATATCTAGTCTTATATGTGTCTACATGGGATGAAAATGCTTGTTTGTTATTTAATTTTATTATTATTCAGTTGTAAATTTGATGCATAGGTTTAACATGATTTGTCCAAACATATGCTATGCACACTTAGCTGCAACTCAGTTGGGGCAGTTCATGAAATTCGAGGATAAATCTGAGACATCCTCAAGCCATGGTGGACTGAGTGCTGCAGGAGCTGTACCTGTCCCCCAGCTTCCAAAATTGCAGGAAAGTGTGTGCAACTCTATGTTCTTCTGTTGAAGGCTTATTTGTTGACATAATGTTGTATATATAACTGTTCCAACCTATATTTTATCCTATCTTTGATTATAGGATATTTTATATACCAATATTTTCCATTATTCTTAGTACCTTTTTCCATGATTATTCAATTCTCTATTAATTTTAATCAAATTTCTTTCTTCTAAAAATTGAACCAATAACACTCCTTTTCAATAATATTTGTCAATTATTCTACACCGGTTTGTTTAGTTTCTTTTGCACAATTCAAACTGTTTTTGTACATGTTGAAATCAATATTGAAAAAGTGTAGATTAGATTGCGAGTTTATACGTTTGTTGGGGGTTATTTGATTAATTGTTTTTATTTATTTATGCAAATTTAGTTTCTGAAATTTAGTTTCTGAAATTTAAGATTCCCCTGAAAGAAACTTGTTTTGATGGGATTTCGTAAGATCAGTAGAATGTGTGCAAGACCACCAATCCAATCATTCACAAACCATAATTTTTGGGTATTGAGAGTCTGATGGTGTGAGGGAAAAAATAAAACTCATTGGAGTTTCCCATCTAGCAATCACTCGTCATTGCTTCTTCCCAAGCGTGTGAATCTATTTGCACGAGATTCCCTTGGGTGAAACTTGTTTTGCGCTAGTCTTCTTAGGTCTATGTTAACCTTGGGTGAGATTGGTCCATGCAACTCTGCTTGCTGCGAGTCTATAACCCATATCAGTGGCCTCTGTGCCGACTGGTTTAGTTTGACAGTGTCTGAGTTGTTTGCGAGGGTTTTGGTGATAGACTTGGATTTGATCTAGGACTCTGAGCTGTTTTTTTTATCCAGTTACCCTGCTTTGGATTTATTGGGACCTTTTAGGGTTTTATCACGCCCTCATGATGTGAGCTCTGATACCAAATTCACATTGGGATCAAGATTGATTTGAATTGCTTGATAGATTAACCCTATATAGAGATTACCAAAGTATATATCTATCTAAATAGATTACTATAAGGTTACAAACATCATCCCTTGATTATAGCTACAAGAACAAAAGCCCGTATCTATCTAGTTATGATTACAATTGGGAAGCTATATACAAAAGTAAATCAGGGAAGAGATCTCCACATTATTAAAGTGGAAACAAACTTTGATACATAAGGAAATATTGAGACCATCCCTAGTAGATGATCAAAATTACCCTAAGATTTAATGAGATATTTTCATATCTTCTAACATTAATGGTACCGACGTCCTGATGATGTTGGTGAGCAGTACAGTGTTGGGTTGGGTTATTGGTTCATAAAAAATTCTTGTGAAAATTTGCAGGCTTGGACAAACTACTCAAAGAGCATCAAATCATATTGGAGGAAAGCATCATAGTCATTCAGACAGTGCACCTACAAGGAGTCTAGCATCATTTTCTCAAGATTATAGGAAATTAGCAATCGATTGCCTTAAGGTTTTACGTATAGAAATGCAGTTGGAGACAATATTTCATATGCAGGTTTGTCTAATGTGGTGTTATTTTTATGAGGTTGTTTGAGGAATAAGATTTTGATAATTTAATTGTTGCCAAACTTATCCAAAACACTATTTTGTGCAGGAAATGACAAATACAGAATACTTAGATGACCAAGATGCTGAAGAACCAGATGACTTCGTCATTTCTCTCACTGCACAGGTTTCTCATTCTTTCTCTGTATGTTATCTTTGTAAAGATTCCTAGTTGGATCCTTCGTAAAGATTATACTCCCCACATACGCAGAACTTGTGATATCCCTTTCTATATTAGAGAGCTTAGGATGATTTATATTATTAATGGAAGCTTGAAATATGAACTTTGGTTAGAGGCATAGATCACCGAATTTGGCTGCAACACCTTCAATAATCCAACCTAGTTCATAAACTGGTGCTTTCAATTTCAGCTTCTATCCAGTTCCAATTCGTAGACTGGGGTTTCATAAGATCCATCTTTCTGAATTTATTGATGATTTGATGTTAATATTAATATTGATGTGGTTGTTGAAATATCTTTCTTAAGATCCATCTTTGGAATTGGATTGTGGTCTGGCCAAGCTATTAATTAAAAGTCAATACTATTTTGGGGGCATTTATAAGATCTCATTTGTATGTGTATTTAGAAGCTATTTTCAGAATTTCCCAAGAATAGTACACATAGAGTTAATGCACAGTTCCATCATTTTTTATGGCAGACATAGCTTATTCTTAAATTTGTACTATATGACCATTGTTTAATTATGTTATTTATTCGAATGCTCTCTTAGAAACTTTGGATTATGGAGATAAAACTAGCTAAAGGAACCCTGCTCAGGAGGATTTGATTGTACATGTGATAAAGACAATTGTATTTTTGGTGAATGAATTTATAATATCACTATTATTAAAGGAGTTCTACAATATGCAGACTTTGCGAAATTGTCCTGTGAGTTTCCATTATGAGATTCTGTAGGATTAGACTTCTAATACTAAACTAAAAAGCACCATACACTCATCAAGATAAGACCATAATACTAATGTGGATGTTAAAGTTAAACTAAATTAAATTATAAATTGTAATGGCATCTTAGTAAACTTACCAGTCAAATGATTCCGAGTTATCTGATTTGATAAAAACAATGTAATGGATCTTCTATCAGCCCCAATATTGAAAGTAAACAGCCAATGGCCAAAATGATGAATTTCAAAAAGTTGGATCTTCCTGTTTAGTGACTCAGATGTATGATAAGCTTATGTAAGTCAGACTCTTTATGTTTACTATTTTAATGAAATCTCCAGATAACTCGAAGAGATGAGGAAATGGCCCCTTTTATTTCAAATGCAAAGCGGAATTACATATTTGGTGGAATTTGTGGGGTTGCAGCAAATGTGTCTGTTAAGGTGTGAATGTATACATTTCTTTGCAGTTTTGTTTTTATAGAAAGACTTTTAATTGTATGTTTGAGGGTGTACTTTCCTTTTTCTTCACTGCTAACAAGAGGGGGCCCTTTTGCTTACAGGCTTTGGCAGCTAAAGTCTATCAATCTTTTTGGTGTTCAGCAAATATGTCGAAACTCTATTGCATTGGAACAGGTAACTAATATTGTGTATGTCCATAGGAGATGTATCTAGTGAGGTCTAAAACACAACTTAAGATTTGAGACTGCCCTCCCTCTCATCATCGATTTCTAATGCATCCAAAACAAGTTGAGATTGCCCTCCCCTCTGCTCTGAACCCCAAACACAACTTAAGATTTGATTTTAACCACCAGATCCAACCAATAATGGTTTAGATTAAATTATGCATGACAAATAGTTTTAAATTTTGACCATATGCCATGGTTGTATGTGTTAAGAATCCTCAACTTACAAGCCGGCTTTGTAAGATTGAGTTTGGTTTTTCCACACTTTTACATACTGGGATGGTATTCCACGGGGAGTGATGCAGAGGAATCTGATATGCATAGTCACAAAGCTGTGAGTTTGCTTTATTGTTCTGTATTTTTATTTAAGCACCATCGGGATTGTTTCCTATTTTTTTGGCTATGTTTGTATTGATGGAATAGAGCGAGCGGAATGGAACATGGTGGAATAGAGTGGAGCGGAACGGAATGGAACATATATTCTATTTCATTGTTTGTATATTTTTTTATAATTTGATGAAATAAAACAGACATCTCTTTGTTTTTTTATATACCAGTATTTTTCAGCCTTAACCTTGGTTTCCTCTGTATACATATTGAGCCTCTCATAAAAAGTTACCCACTATTTATACTGTACTTAGTTACCATGTTTCTTTCAGTGTGTTTCACGTACTGCCGAGATGTTGGATGATGCCTTGGGTCTGATGGGATTGAAAGATCATGAAGGAAACAGATTCTTACATCCACCGTGTGCTGAATACATTTGTGCAAGAAAATGTGCTGCTCCTTATGTTATACAAAACTTAACCTCTGTACCACTTCTATATCATGTATATAATGGGCATATCAATCCTAATGATATCTATGACCCAGATTTGAGTCATGCAAAATATGTGCAACCAGGTTCTGCAAGTACAATATACATGGATGAAAATGATGAGCAACAGCATTACAGTCCTTATCTTTCTTCTGAACGTCTAAATGAGCAAAGGCCAAGTGGCTTAGCTCATCGTTATATTACGGTACAGCTTGAAGGAACATATATGTTGTCTGATCCAATTTCAATGGATTTAGTTGGATTAACGTGTTTTAATGCTAATTTCTCCAAGTCATATAATGAAAATGATGATGATGGTAGAATGAATACTGCCCCGACTTTTGTTGTTCCTGTTGTTTTAGATGTTTCTGCGTTACGCTATAGCAAGTCGATACGAATATACTCAACTGTAAGTATAAAATGACTTTTATCCTTTATGTTGATGTTTCCCATTTACCCCATGCATTGTTTTCTTATAAACCAACTCTTTGACATATAGGTTGTTCTTCTGAATGCAACTTCTGCACCACTTGAGCTGCGGTTTGATATTCCTTTTGGTGTGTCACCAATGGTACATGCTTCCTTCTAATACTTCACAGTTTGAGTCTATATAGCATTGTTATTTTTGTGATACTACTTGTATGCTGTATATTTTTATTATTTCAGATATTTGATCCTATACACCCTGGGCAACAGTGATGGGTTCTTTTCTGATGAATGGAACAGTTACAGGAAAATAGAAGAGAATAAACTGTGATTGTATTAAGATCTGAACAATTACAATTAAAGTGTGAAATAGACTGTAATAACAGAAAAAGGTAGAAGACAAATTGGTAAATGATTACACCAATCCCTAGGCACGCAGGCCTCCCACAAATCACTCAAAAGTGACCCCACTACTAACTGAAAACTTGGCTACCTCTCTATTCTCTTCTTAATCCTTATATAGCACTACTGTCACATGCATCTCACGCCTTCAGGTGATTCTTAGCCACGTCATGCTTCTTCCTTTTCCTTGTGTACACCTTCCAAGTCTTAGGTTTGGGCCCATACTCAATGTCCACATTCTCATTTAATTCACTATCCGCACCTCCTCTATCAATACCACCCTCCTTCAAAACATCCTTGACCTCAAGGATAAAATCTGGAAACTGGCCCTGCAAAAAATCATTATCTTCCCAGGTCACATCATCAACAGATCCATTTTTCCACTTAATCAAACTTTGGACAACAGCCACTCCTTCTTTCATGGTTATTCTAGAGCCAAGCACCTTCTCAGGATAATGTTCCACCCCTATAACCACCTTTAACTCCTTAGGCAGCTCCGCTTGGACTTCGTAGTCTTCTACAGCTTTCTTAAGTAAAGAGACATGAAAAACAGGATGTATCCTGGACTGATCAGGCAATTGCAACTTATATGCTACCTCCCCTATCTTCTCAATAATCTGGAAAGGGCCATAAAAACGAGCTGCAAGCTTCTGATGGATTCTTTTAATAACGGACTGTTGCCTATGAGGCCTCAACTTAAGGAAAACCCATTCTCCCACTTCAAACCTCACATCTCTCCTACTCAAATCCGCATACTTCTTCATCTGCTGTTGGGCTCTTAACAAATGCCCCTTCAAACAGAGTTCTGCCAATGGATACATGATACGTGGTATTGTACCAGAACTCTGCCCAAGGAATCCACTGAGACCATGTTCTTGGCTGCTCTGATGCAAAACAGCGTAAATAACTCTCCAAGCACCTGTTAAGAACCTCAGTTTGACCATCCGTTTCAGGGTGATAAGCTGAACTCATTTTGAGCTTAGTGCCCTGTAACTTGAATAATTCCCGCCAAAAATGACTAATAAAGATAGGATCCCTGTCACTAATGATGGATAGTGGAATTCCATGCAGTCTCACAATTTCCTTCACAAAGACCTCTGCAATGGTTTTAGCAGTGTAGGGGTGTTTCAGAGGGATAAAATGGCCATATTTAGACAATCTGTCCACAACAACCAGCACAACATCAAAACCCTTAGACTTGGGCAAACCAGTTATGACTCTTAGACTTGGGCAAACCAGTTATGAAATCTAAGGAGAGATCCTCCCAAACAGCATTTGGAATAGGCAACGGTTGCAGAAGACCCCCAGGAGTTGTAGCTGCATATTTTTGCCTTTGACACACATCACAAGATCTTACAAAATCACGTATCCTTTTTTGCATCCCTACCCAGTATATATTTTCTGCCAATCTCCTATAAGTCCTTAAAAACCCAGAATGGCCACCGCTTGGAGTGCTATGAAATTCCTCGAGCAACAAAGGAATTGATGGTGACGTGGGAGAGATAACAAGCCTTCCCTGATAAAATAAAATTCCATGTTTCACAATGAACCCGGGTTTGGCCTCCAATTTGCTTTCAACTTCTGTCCTCAATTTCTGAACATAAGGGTCTTTTCCCACCTCATCTAACAACAGGTGTCCACCCAACCATGTAGAATAAGAGATTAAAGTCTTCAGTTCCACCTCACCATGACACCGGGATAAAGCATCTGCAGCCTTATTCTCCAACCCAGGCTTGTACTTGACCTCAAACTGGTATCCCAACAGTTTAGCCACCCAACATTGCTGATCTGGTGATGTCACTCTTTGTTGCAAAAAATATTTAAGACTTTTGTGGTCAGTGTACACTGTAAAAGGTTTACCCAAAAGATAGTGTCTCCAATATTGAATACAAAGTACAAGAGCCATCAATTCTTTCTCATACACAGATTTGGCTAGATTTCCTGCTGACAATGCTTTGCTGAAAAAGGCTACTGGTTGTTTATTCTGCATCAGCACTGCCCCAATGCCCCTACTAGCTGCATCACACTCAATCTCAAAAGGCAAAGAAAAGTTAGGCAATACCAGTACAGGGGATGATTTCATGATTTGCTTTAATCTATGAAAGGCTTCAGCAGCAGTAGGGCCCCATGAAAAATTATCTTTCTTAGTCAAATTAGTGAGGGGTTTGGCTATCTTCCCATAGTCCTTCACAAACTTCCTATAATACCCAGTTAAACCTAGGAAACCTCTGACCCCTTTTACATTTTTTGGTTCTGGCCAGTCTAATACACACTGTATTTTTTCAGGGTCCACTGCTACCCCCTTTCCTGAGATCACATGCCCCAAGTAGTCCACCTCTGCACATCCAAACTTACACTTGGACATGTTGGCCACAAAACAGTTAGATAATAACACAGTTAGCACCTGCTTCAAATGGTCTTGGTGCTCTACTAAGTCCTTGCTGTAGACCAAAATGTCATCAAAAAACACTAGGACAAACTTCCTTAGGAATGGTCTAAAAATATCATTCATAGTGGCTTGAAAAGTAGCTGGCGCATTCATTAAACCAAAAGGCATCACTAAGTATTCATAGTGTCCATTATGAGTTCTAAAAGCTGTTTTGTGGATGTCATTCTCATGAACTCGAATCTGGTGATATCCAGACTTAAGGTCAATTTTTGAGAATATAGTAGCACCATACAATTCATCGAGCAGTTCATCTACAATAGGTATGGGATACTTATCTGGTATTGTGGCCTTGTTTAGAGCTCTATAATCTACACACATCCTCCAACTCTTGTCCTTCTTCTTGACTAAAATGACTGGACTAGAATAAGCACTCATACTTGGCCGTATCACCCCTGCTGCTAAGAGTTCTGCAACTTGTTTTTCAATCTCTTCTTTTTGGTGATGAGGGTACTTATAGGGCTTCACGTTGACAGGACCCTGACCTGAAAAGAGTTTGATCTGATGAACTTGAGTTCGTTCTGGTGGAAGTCAAATGTGCTCTTGGAAAATTCCCGAAAATTGCGTTAGGATGGAGCTCAAATCCTCCTGTGCTGTTTCCCTGTTTTTCTTGCCTCCTCCGCCCTGTGACCACCACCATTCCACACCTCCTCTGTTGGGTTTCTCTTCCAGAAACGTATTGAGGAAACCCTGTTGTTCCTGTTTCACTCCTTGGCCTTGAAGTTTTACCACTCGATTCTCACTTAGAAGTTGCATAGTGAGAAATTTCCAGTCCATCACCACCTTCCCTAGTGTACTCAACCACGCCATCCCTAGCACCAAATCAAGCCCTCCCAAATCCAGGACCAAAGCATCCACCACTACTTCAAAGGACCCTAACTTCATACAAATTCCTTTACATACCCCTTTAGTTACTACCTTGTGACCATCCCCCAATTTAGTTACTACCTTGTGACCATCCCCCAATTTGATGTTCCTTGAAGTCATAGGAGTGACATCAAGACCCAGCGCAGAGGTAATTTCAGAAGAAATGAAATTATGGCTTGCTCCACTATCAATCAATACCAGCACCCCCACATTTCCTATCATTCCTTCAATCTTCATGGTCCTGTACTCCCCCATCGTGCCTAACACTCCCATCGCCTTGCACTCAATCTCAGTTTCTTCTTCACTTTCCTCTTCCTCCGCCTCCAACGACACAATCTCCCCTTCTTCATTCAAACTTTCCCCCTCGCCCAGAATCAACAACCGCATCGATCGTTCCAGACATTTATGGAGCGTTGGGTGATACTTCCCCCCGCACTTGAAATACAATCCCTTTGCACGTCTCTCCGCCATCTCGTCGTTGTGGATGCTTCGTATTCCCTTCCATTTCTCACTCGATCCCGAATTCTCACCCTTTTTTGCAGTAGAAGATAATGATGACGTGGAATTTGCATTGGACCCAATTGACCCACTTTTTTGTGTCGGGTTGGACCAAACCGTATTTCCGGGTCGGGCAGAATCCTTTTTTGCAATATCTGAAACACTGATATTCGAACCAAATAATTCAAATGGCAAGTGATTTTATTTGTGGGTTGTTTGTCTTCTTACGAGTGCATCCTTTATAAGTATTTTCTTGCTCTCTCTTGTAGGACATATTTCTGTTACGGTGGAAAAGGTGATGGATGCATATTCAGGTAGCAGAGAACTTATTATTTTTGTTCCCTTTATCTTGTATAACATCGTAATATGAAGGAATGACAAATCCCCTTTCATCGGTTGGGTTGTTGCGTCAAACAACGTAGTGGGAACATACTAACTAAGATTAAACTTAAAATTTATATACAAAAAAAGCTGTAGAATATAATGTAGAAACATATATGTAAAAATTAAACTTAAAATATCATAATTCATAAACTTAAAATCAATGTCATTTGTTGCATAATGTAGATTCACAAGAAAGTAAATTGTTAAGCTCAAGTAACAACTTATTAATTGTAAAATAGACAAAATCAATAACTTGGAGAAATAGGAAGATGTGAAATGGCCAGAGTATAAAAAGAGAACTGAGAATGATTGAAAATAAGAAAGAAAAAGAACAAAGAGATAATAGAGATGCGAAATCACATAAAGAGGCAAGTCTTTTGTGTTTTAGGATTTCAACAATTTTAGGAGAATAGTTTCAGAACAAACAATTTGCAAACGAATATCTCAGAAGACAAACTATTATCCTAAAGTTGCTAATCGTTTGTTGTCTGTAAGACTGCAACTTTAGAAAAATAATCGCCTGGTTTGATGGTAAAATCAACTCCTTTTGTGTTAGCTTGTTTTTCCATTTGTATTATGCTCTTCTTTAAGTTTTCCTTCAACTTGATGATAATATTATGTCTTCGTTGCATGGGCTCATCAAATGAATGCTCTTCTACTGAATCGGCTAAATAATCTAGAATTTTGGAGGGATCTTGGCCGTAAAGTGCTTTGAATGGTGTCATCTGGATAACCGTGTGAAAGTAGGTGTTATACCAACACTCGTTAAGATGTAAGAATTTGTACCACTGAAGAGGATCTATGCTTGCAAACCATCTAAGGTATGTAGGAATTTTGTTGATTACCACCATTAAGATATAAACTTTTTCTAAACTATATAATAATATATGTTTATTTTATGAGTTGTGTCATGATTTTAAATAATTGCTATTGTTGTAATTGTCTAATTAAAACAATTGAGTTATTAATTTTGTTATAAGTAATACTACATCTAATTTCACATACAAGGATTACCATGGTTATTCAAAAATATTAAAAAAATCGTATGGATCAATTGTATGACATAACCTAAAGAACAATTTTATATTTTTAGGTCTATCCGTCAAGTTCCAAGAGGTCAATGCTTTATTCCTAGCAATAAGATTAGGTTGTAGTTTCTACATGGAAGCATACTATCGCATTGTGCTGGATCTATTATACTTGTTAACATTAATGGTTGTTTGGTTGATGAGATTCAGACACAAATCAACCTATATCAAAGAGAGTGACACACAATGTGGATATCCCTTTTGGTAAAAATAGTTACATCTTCTCTTAGTTTTGTGTTAATATAAAATGTTCTAGTTTGTATTGAAAAAATATTCTATTGATTATGTACTAGGTTGTGCCTTCTGAAATTTTAGCAGTTCTAGTGAATCTACGTACACCTCATGTATAGTTTGTTCGAGTTGTTTCCGCATTTACTATGTATGTCGAAACCGTTTCAGTACTTACACAAATTCGTTAAATGCAAAATGCAAAGGTTAAACAGTTTCGAACTTTGTTATACTATTATCTTTTATAAATATATAATAAAGATTATGCTGAAGATGAACGAACATCAAATTATGTTGTAAATAATTCAGACAAGTTTTTATTTTCAGATGGTAAAACCATTCACAGGATATTATTTATTTTCTCTGAGTATTTCACGATTCTTTGCACTAGGTTATTTGATTATTCACGTGAGATTTGTTAAATTTGTTTTTATATATATTTTTTAAACTATAGAAAATGTGAAATAATAATATTATAATGTTTGTAATATTTTGTATGGGCCTATGAAGCTAGAGGTGGATATCTCATTTTCATTGGCTTACGCTATTTAGGTGGATATCTCATTTTCATTGGCTTACGCTATTTATGGATGGTGGTTTTTCAAGTATTGGATTTGGTTTAGTCTTCCATCTTGGTGGATTTTTGTTACTATTATATCAAGAGGTGAAACATTTGCTTTTTTCTTTTAAACATATTTTTTTGAATATTCGAAATGAAATTTTATATGACAATTTTTTACAATTATTATTTTATTACTATTATTATTATTTTTTCCAGCATCATGCAAGATCAGCTTTTGAGAAAGAGGTTTGTTTAATTATCT